AATAGTCAATTTTCGTTTGTTTAGTATAGCACTATCCGCCGATATTCGCCAAATGTTTCTTTGCATAGGGGTCCGTGAATGCGACCGTAGATTCCAGCGCATTTTATATCGTTTCAACCCAAAGGAACCTCTAATGGTGTTTGAATTTAACCGCGTTTGTTTTGGTTTAAAGTCGAGCCCATTTCATGCGTTACGCACGGTGAGACAGCTCGCTCACGATGAAGGTCCCTCTTATCCTAAAGCTAAGAGGGCAATTGAGAGCGGATTATATATGGATGATTTTGTGTATTCGGTCGATAGCGTGGAGGAGGCCACCCTAACCACCGCCGAGGTTATAAGGCTCATGAAATCGGGTCAATTCGATCTTGTGAAGTGGACTAGTAATTCGCGTCCGGTTTTAGATACAATCCCACTATCACACCGTCTTTCGGCGATAAAGGAATTCGACGATTCCGATACACACAAGGTGCTCGGTCTGTGTTGGTCACCAGAGTCCGACGTGTTTAGCCTTAAGGTAAATCCGCCCGTAGAGAAATGCACAAAGCGCACAATACTGTCATGCGTTGCTAGATTATGGGACGTCATGGGTTTCGTAGCTCCGGTGGTATTATACGCTAAGCTTTTGATTAAACAACTTTGGTTATTTGAATGCGATTGGGATGACTCGCCGCCTGACAGCATTGTTCGATTGTGGCAGCGCTTTAGAGAGGAACTTCCTTTACTAAGAGAAATTAAAATACCGCGTCATATAAATGTCGATAGAAATAGCAGCATAACGGTTGTTGGATTTGCAGACGCCAGCGAGAAGGCTTACGGGGGCGTTGTATATTTCCATGTCCAGAATAATGGTAGAAATTCGATTAGCCTCATTAGTTCTAAGTCGAGAGTCTCCCCCCGTAAGGTTGTCTCTCTGGCGCGCTTAGAGCTTTGCGCAATATTAGTACTCACCAAGCTTATTACCACAGTTATCGGCGCATGTAGGGATAGAGTTCACATAGAAAGAATATTTGCCTTTTCCGACTCCACCGTCGCCTTATGTTGGGTTCATTCTTCACCCCACCGTTGGGATACGTTTGTCGCGAACCGAGTGGCCAAGATCCAAGACGAGTTAGAAACGCGGAACTTTTATCACGTGTCCGGTAAGGAAAACCCTGCCGATTGTCTATCCCGGGGACTCACCCCGATGCAAATAATGGACCACCCGCTTTGGTTCCATGGACCTTCTTGGGTTCACTTGGATCCCTCACAATGGCCAATAACCGATTTCGAACCTTCGTCAGTGTCACAACCGCCGGAAGAGAAGAGACACGCTCTAGTGGCGAACGTTTCGAGCGAGGTTTCTCCAATCATTGCTCTGGCGAACCGCTTGTCCTCTTGGTCGAAATTATTGCGTAGCGTAATTTACGTTTGTCGATTCGCGAAGCTTTTACCGCGACGTTCGTATGTCTTAGCATCCGATTACAACTATGCCGAGTCGCTAGTATTACGTGAACTTCAACGTGCACACTTCTCTGAAGAAATTACAAGATTACAATCGAATAGAGCTTGTAGTCGCGCCTTTCAACGCCTTAAGCCATTTTTACAGGATGGGATTGTAAGGGTAGGTGGACGCTTGTCCAACTCGCAGTTGAGTTTCGACCAACGGCACCCTATAGTTTTACCGCGTAAAGACCATATCATGAACTTATTAGTCGATTATCATCATAAATTGAACTCGCACGCTGGCCCCGATTTATTGATGTCGATCTTGCGCCAGAATTATTGGATTCTTTCTGCACGTAGTTTAATACGCAATCGGGTGCACAGATGTATAGCTTGCTTTCGGGCACGCCCCAAGCCGTCATTTCCGGAAATGGCGGAACTTAGATCTTGTAGAGTGATACAATCGGTAAAGCCCTTCACGCACACCGGGTCTGATTTTGCTGGTCCGTTTAAGGTCACGCTCACTCGCGGGCGTGGTATAAGATCCACAAAGGCTTACGTCTGCATTTTCGTATGTCTAACTACTCGAGCAGTGCATATAGAACTCGTTGGTGATCTAAGCACAGCAGGCTTTATGGGTGCATTTAAAAGATTTCTATCGCGCAGAGGCCCTGTAAGTAGATTATATTCGGATAACGGTACGAACTACGTCGGTGCAAAACGTATTCTATCGGAACTACATGAGCTCTTAGCTAGCAAGTATTATAATTCGGAGTTCGCTCACATTCTAGCCGAGAACCGCATTGAATGGTCTCTGAACGTCCCAGCCGCGAGTCATTTTGGGGGCAATTGGGAGACTAATATTAAAAGTCTAAAGAGCCACTTATACCGAGTAATAGGAGATCAAATTTTGTCCTTCGAAGAGCTAAGTACGGTGCTCGCTCAAATTGAATGCGTAATGAATAGCCGCCCACTTTGTCGGACGTTATCTAGTGACCCCTCGGAACCGCTGGCTCTAACTCCAGCACATTTTTTGACTTTAACGCCTCTAAGGTATCTGCCCGCCGCGGATATGGATGAGAACAGACTTAACATTTCCACACGCCACAAATTATTAGATCGGTTAGTGCAATCGTTTTGGAAACGATGGAGGATGGAATACTTGCATACTTTGCAGTCTCGGCAAAAATGGAACACAGCGACAGAGCCTTTAGCTGTAGGAACCGTAGTTGTGTTCACTAAGGAGAATACGCCGCCTCTCCACTGGCCGTTAGGAATCGTCGAGGAGGTCTTTCCCGGTTCCGACGGAGTAATTAGGATAGCTCGCGTTAAGACCACGGTTGGGTCTTACCTACGTCCGGTTATCCGTTTGTGCCCCTTGCCTCTTCCATAATTTAAATTAGCTTTCTAGACTGAAATTGTAGTTTAATTTAGGTAATCTTAGCGTTAGTTAGTTATTTGTTAGTCGATCTTAGCTCTAGTTGTTTAGTTATTTTTTTTGAAGGAAATCCTTCAAGGGCGGGGGGAGATGGTTGCGCGGAAAACCATTCGCGTTTTTTATTTTTGACGGTAGGAATTTGTCGAATCATTATTCCCTTCCGAAACAATATCATTCGTACCCTCCTATCGACACATCGGGGTGGTGGGGTGGGAGGGGAAAGAAGACGATTCTAGAACATCGCGTAATCATCGGACCCGAGGATATATAAGACACGCGCGACCGACGCGCGCTCTCTTCTCCCGCCGCAGTCGTCGTTGAACTACAACCTCCTCTTCCCGCGCGCTCGTTTGGAAACACCTCACTAGTGGAAACCGCTTTGGCCTGGAAGCAGTCGAGCTCCAGGAACCCGCCTCACCTCGTGTGAGATATCGTCGCGCACCGCCTCTCTCCGGAGTGTTCCAGAAGTCGCTATAGTGATCGACAGGAAGAAGAAACCCCGGTGAGTCAATACTCCTTAATTATACCTGCTTGCTAATAATTTAACCCGCTCCAATTTGTGTTTTTTTCCTAGTCAAGCAGGATTCCTTTCATCGATTCGACAAGTAATAGTTTAGTTTAGGGAAGAGCGAGTGCATTGTACCGCATGCTATAGTAGTCGCTTCACATAAGCATAGAAGCAATCGCATATACAGTCCACTTTAGTTAATATCTCGCGTAATACAACTTGATTTTCGGCAGCCTTAAAACACGTGGCTCCACCAAGTAGTATGGTTATAGCACGAATGGGTCGGCTCGACCGGGGAAGGACCACGCTCTCACAGAAAACCAGCGTAAAATAGTAGCTTAATGCTGCTGTTTCGTTTGATGACTATAGAGAACCGGAGACCCTCTTTACCGGAAACGAGGCATTCCATATTAGTCCTCACGGTTGACAACGCATCTGCATTTTGATTCGTAATCAAGGATGTCTATGGGCTACAGCAACCACTTACCATCAGGTAGACTGTATGCTCGTTTGTCACCCTATCCTATAAAAAAATGAAGGGTAGCTGCTATAAGACTGAGCTGAAATGAACCAAAATGGCAGCCATCATCTTGACTTGACAGTGATAGAGCCACGCAGCGGATATTTATGTCGCATGGATTGGGCCAGCTTGAACCGAGGTGGTACCACGACCTCACAGAATACCTGCGTGAAGTAGAGGTTTACCTCTGCGTTTCACTTGGGCTGGAGGCGCAATTATCCCTCCCCCTTATCATCGTAGCGGAATCAAATAAAAACTACCCCAAAAGGGTACCCTCACTCCTGGTGACGGAGAAGACCTTGCTGAGCATCCACGACCAAGCTACTTTACTCTTTCTGACCGTGGATGCTTAGGCTGCTCCGCGTATTCTGTGGAGGGGGGAGGGGAAGGAATTCTGCTCGCGACTAAAACTGTTAGGGGCAAGCGGAGCAATAAGAATAAGGCGACTCCTGTCACGCTATCAGTGAATTTTTGCAACATCAGGACACTTCATTCTAATCTGCTATCCACTACCACCCGGAGACGGCGAAACCGGCCTTGCTCTTTTTAACCGAGACTCAGGTGTCCTCTCCGGCTGATACCTCATATCTCTCTTACCTGGGGTACAAATTAGAGCACTCTTTTGTGCCCCCGGCTGTAGTTTGTTCTATTTTGCATTGACTAAAATATACCTTTTTTCATTTAGAAAAGTATATTTTTTATTTCCATGGAAATTTATTTTTTATTCAAACTAGTTCTTTTTAGTATTAAGTTATTTTTTATAATAAATATGTTTTACATTACATATGTTGTATATTTTATCGATGCTTACATGCTCACTGGACAATCTATCAAGAAGACTTTTAAGTGATCTACAGACACCTCCTATGTGCTTCATCTTTTTTTGAATCGTCAAATTGTTGAAATTTATTTAAACAGACAGATATACTTTCGCTTTCACATTGCATATTTCTCTTGTAGTTGTAACATTGTATCTCGATTTTCAGGGACTTTTGAAAAAAAGTGGCAACACTTCTCTGACTCACACAAAGTTACAAAATTGGTTACAGTTTCTTGTTCTAGGTGCGATATCTACCTTTTTTACTTCATCTGAGGTACCGACAAATACAATCATGGGCTATCATGATATAGACACCGGTCGATTAATTGACGAAGTGCGATCAAGAAAATGTTTATGGGACGCTTCGGACCCATTATATCGAAATAAAGATGCGCGTAACAAAGCCTGGGATGACATCGTCGTCGCACTTTTCGAAAACGTTTCATCAGAAGAAATACAACATTTAGGTTAGTATTAATTTTTTATTTACTCTTTGGTTAATAAAGTGGTAGGCTTCGATAATATATTTCTGTAGATGCACTGTTGCCGCTAAAAAATGGCACCAGTAAAACAAGGCATAAATCAACAGTGTGAGTGTAGTGAAAAATTGTAAAAATTACACTCTAAAAGTTATCGTCTACCTAAGTACATATAGACGCGGAAACAATATTTTGTTAAATTTTTTATGGAACTGTGCATCTACAGAAATATATGATCGAAGGTGGTTGGTAAACAATTATTTTTAAAATATACATGAATCTTGCCAGGGCACACTACCCGCGGGACTCAAAAAGTACTCTGCAAAATGTTCTCGTAAAGCATTTCCGGATCTGTACCTTGGTATATTATTATCTAGTATCTACTATACCTTCAATTGTAAGTGTATCTTCAATCCTGTACCCATCACGAACTCTTATGAAATTATGTAGCACACAGCATGCTTTTACAATATTTTTTGCAATATTGAAACTTGCATTCATAGGTGTATGAAACACTCTGAACTTGTTCGACATTATACCAAATGTTGATTCTATATATCTTCTAGCGCGACTTAATCTATAGTTAAAAACTTTTTTTTTGGTCATATTGCTTCGTACATATGGTTTCATTATGCTGTTAGATATTCCAAAAGCACCATCGCCAACAATCACATGCTGAACTGGATTATTTGTTCCTGGCAAAGACTTTAGGACCAGGTATATTCAAAGTGCCGTTGTCTTCTGTATATTTCACTATCACGAAATATTGAAGCATCAGAGTTTTTTCCATAGGCTCCAACATTTACATAAGTAAAACAGTAATCTGCATCGCACACAGCTAGAAGAACTATGGAATAAAAGTTTTTGTAATTGTAGAACATTGATCCGCCACCCACGGGATTTACAATTCTTATGTGCTTGCCGTCAATGGCACCAACACAATTAGGAAAATTGGTCTTTTGAAGAAATCCTGCAGCTATTTCTTGCCAGATATCACAATTTTTTGTTGGAATGCATTCATCATGTATTGTATTATATGTAATATTTCCCAAATTGCTATACACACTTCATTCACGATTCGCTGATGGTTATTCCAATCCTAAACGAATACTGCAGATCTGTATATGTCCGACCCGTAGCCAAAAATCTTTGAAAATAACAATCTAAATGCATGAATGAAATAAACTTTATTGCACCAACAAAACGGTAGTGTGTCCAAATACATTTTAAATAAAGGTCATTTTATTTTTTCAGGAAAAAGTATTCAACAACGATGGAAGACAGTCAGGGATGCTTTCTTTAGATCAAAGGCAGTTATGAAAAACACACCATCCGGTAGTTCTGCAAAAAAGTTAAAAAAATATTTTTTTTTGATGAATTAACTTTTTTGATCCCGTTAAACCAAAATGAAGTAGATGAATCATTATATGAATTAGCTTTATTACCCCCAGAAAATTCTCAAAATACCGAATCTAGTGCTGATAACAATATATCTGCATCTATTAACAATGATGCGATGCCATCTTCTTCAAACGTTTCACAAGACGTACAAGGCCAAACTAGTACAGCATCATCGGAAAATCCATGGGATAAAAAAAGAAAAAACCGACCTCGCCAATCCAGTCAGGAAAGTTTCGAATTTGAAAAAGGATTATTAAATCTTCTTGCAAGTCTAACGGCAGATATAGCAAGTGATGATTTGTCTTTTTTTTTCCTCTTGAGGACCAATTTTAAAAACCTTTGACCTTGAACAAAAGTTAGAGTTTCGCTCAAGAGTCCTGAATGTCGTCACAAGTGTAAAAAATATGCAATATACACCATCTAGCTCAACATCCATGGTAAATTTAACATCCCCAGATCCCCAGGTCACCACCACAATATGAGCAACAAAATACGTGTAATACACCGTCACCATACAATTATGACAATGATCATCCAAGCGGTTCATCCGAGAATATTGAACATGTCTAATGCTTAACATTGATTATTTGTTGTATAAATATATAATTAAATATTTCAGTGTACTTATTTTCTTCTTACCTTAAAGTAACCATCAAGCGTTCAATCGGCTGTATAGGAACACGACGTAAGCTGCAATGGACCAATCTATTTTGGAGCTTTGCTAGTAATTCGTCAAAACTTCTTGATGACATACCGAAATAGTTGAAAAACTTGTCTTCGTCCTCTCACAACTGGCCGTATAATATAACGAATTCCCCTGCAAAGATTCTCTGCTCGATTAATGGATGAACATGTAGTTTTTTTCTTTGTCAGACGTTTTTTCTTTGCTAAATAGTACACGGCAACAGTTTTCACTAACATCGACATTATTTGCGTCTGTACTTCACGGTGATCAGAGCGATACTAAAACGGTCCGAGCTGACCGATCGGCGCTGACAAGCTACGCTCCGACCGTCAGCGCCGGCGGTAAGCATGAGAGGAAAACCAGCATAAAGTAGAAATACAACTTACAACTCGCGGCACGAAAGTCTAGCGGTGACCGCTATCGCGTATAATTGGCCGTACTGCGCATTATTGCGCTTGATTGGCTGTGCGTATCGTTCGCATGCGCTGATTGGCTCTTCAGTCACATTCTATCTCTCGGCCCGTACTGATACGATATCCCCTCCACGTATTGTTCAGCGCTAGCGTTACGTGCCGAGATTTGTAACTACAGAGATGTATAATTTATTCTAGATAATTTTGTCTATTTTTAACACGCTTTTACTAATTTGACCTGTATGTTGAATGTAATTGTATTATTAATTCAGTTTTTCCTCATTTTTTAATAGAAGAGAGGGCAAACGAAAATGCAACTCACCTGAAGGTAAGTGTCGACCACGAACAAATGTCACACCAGGGGAACTGCAGCTACGTTGCAGGCCTTTTAAAAAGGAGTAAGCTCGTTGTTTGAAGGTCTATGTCGTATCGATCCGGAAAATCGATGGTGGCAAACGATTCCACAAAGAATTCGTTTAAAGAAGAAACCACGGCAAGACCTAACTACAACTAAGCCACTTCCGGACATCCGAATAATTTGTAATTACAGACGTATGAAAATACAATAATTTCATTACTTATGACCTACAATTCCAACTTCAGACCAACAAAGATAGAGACGTAGCGTTGTGTACATTTTAGGTCATGCCGAAATTATGCACAACTTCTTGACACTCTAGGTCACATCTTTTTTTCTTTTTTTTAACAGCTCGTAAAAGTTGTTGGCTGCAAATAATTTTAGATACTTATGTGCACACATCTTTCTTCTTTTTTTTATCAGCACTTAAAAATTCACAGCTGGACTCACACATATTATGCACCTAAATCTATATTGTTGGTTGCAAATTATTATAGATACATAAATATTTGTTCGTGAGTGCATTCTTACAAAAATCGGGCATGATTTTGGCCTGGATTTTGAATATCTAGTAGCACTGGTATACCAGAAGTTTTAGTCCTCGCACGACTTCTTAGTGAAATCGGCTACCACCTTTCCGTACCAATACGACTTAGGGAATTTTGAGAAGAGGCCAACTTTAAAAGGCCGGCAACGCATCTGCAATGAAGGCCACGAGTTTCTGTCGCCAGGGCAGCGCTACATAAAAATGAGGTGTAATATTTGACAGATTTCATAGCGGGGAAGTTAATTTGTTCGAAATATGTAAAAGGTTAATGTTTTTTTCGTTACTTAATTGGACTAAAAATAAATAAATGAAATGCATTCATAAAGTAGAAAAATTAAAGAGTTTAAAACAAACTTCTTAATTAAACAACAACAATGTGTAATAAAAAACTTCACCTCAGCGTCAACTGGCGAGCGACATCTAGTGAGCGGAAGTTTATTAATCCTTCGCATTCTATATGTTTTTTCTATAGAACTACCATGGCTCATAAAACATATTGCGCAACAAAGACATTAAATATGTAGTAGTAATAGACCGGACATTAGCAACAAAATTGTTGCTAATGTCCTATAGGATATATCTCCGATTTTTGTCATTTAGTCTAAGTGACATCACCGAAAGGTCAAGACGCATTCGTTTCATAAATTTAAAAAAATATTTTTAAATAAAATATGCCCGGTTGTGCATTAAGGTATAGTAAGTCACGATATGGAGCAAAAAATGAACATGATTTCGGTTTATTATCTTAAGAACAATGTATATTTACCAAATAATCTTTAAATTTTATTATTTCTGGTAGATTGTTCTAGAAGAAAGAAAAAATATTGTAATAAGTGCCCTCTGTTATCCAGTAACGTCGCTATTTATTTACAAATATGTTAGTAATTGACGACGTGCCTAAAACCGATTTTACCTTGTGTTTAGAAGCGTCACCTAATGGGAAATAGATAAAATGTTTTCCAAATAAATATTCAGCGTAGTATTGCTATTTTTCGGTAGAGGGCTTAACACACGCGCCTGCTCACAATTTTTGTATGTAAATGTTTCCAATGTCCGCTCTGTAGTATATATTTAAATCTTTTTGTTGCGCAATGTACTACAAAGTGGCTATCACTTAGATGTCAACAAAGTGAACCAATATGCCTGCAGATGTGTTACAATGCGATTCAAATAAGAATAGGAATGTCAATGACCTCGAATGACCGCGACTTGTCAACTGTCACTTGAAAAGAACGATTTGCAAAGCAAGTTAATTTTCCACTTTTATATTTATTTAACTGTGTCATTATTATTTAACTGTATTACCAAATCTATTGAAGTCACAATTAGTTTTAAAATTAATTTAAAAGATTTTTTTCTGTTTTCATTGTTGGCAACATTTCGCCAAAAAGCAATGAGGACGCCATCTTGTCGATGTCAGCATGCTTCGACGTGCGATTGAGGGCTCGTGCTTTTGTAGCACTGTTGTTTTTTTTTTTTTTGATAATTCTGTTTATTGTAGGTTGTTTCCTGTTAAATTTGTTGTTGTCAGTTTTCGTTAAATTTATTGTTATCTGTTTTTGTTATTCGTTTTTATGTCTCTGACTGCTTCAAAATGTGTAAACAAGGCGCTTTTTTGCATGGGAGAGCTCGGGAGATCGTCTCTAATGTAGACAAATATTTTGAATGCGTGAAACAGCACAGTGTTACATTGATATACTAATTAAAGACAGCAAACATCTCCTCAGGACCAGATGTTAATATAATTTCGATTTCTGGTTAGTCCTATTCTTATTTTAATCTCATAGTACATGCTTATTTGCTCACTCTTCCACAAAAAAGAGAGCTTTACAATTGAAAATCCCGGAGTCAGTCCAGTTACACAATACAATCGTGCAAAACCAAATAAAAGTGTACAAGACCAAAACTCGAGTCACTTGTAACTACCCTCGTGTGAGAAGTCTTATAGAAAAAACTGTATATCATAATTATTTCTTACTCAAATACTACACACTGAATAAAACTAATATTATCGCGTTTCATTTTATTATTAACGCTAGCTATTCGCCCGGCATCGCACGGGCGGTTTCTAAATCTCGACAACATCACCACTTACAGGACCTAAATGTGAATCTAAATAATTCAGGGGTGTAGCCTTTTAGTAGGAGTTTAGTTACAAATAAACGTACAAAAAATATACAGGCTGTCAGTGTAAACACCGTTATCCTTGAAACCAGTGGTTTGGTTTCACCTATAGAACGTAAATTCAATGAAAAATAAAAATTTTTTTTAGTAAAATCTCAATTTTTCCTTAATTCCTCAATTTTTGCCTGTCCTAAGCCAGGATGAAAGTATGAAGGAAAAGTTACATCACAAGTTATGTGTACCTATTGTGTTTTTATTGGAATGTTGTGTAGGTAGCTAGCGCGGGCGGTGATCTTTACAGTGATTACGTCACTCGGGCGCATAGGGTATCCATGAATTTACGGACTGTATCGGACAGAAACTTTTTTAAATTTTATGAAAGAAAATAGCGTATTTTTTTAACCTATGGTTTTAGTGACAACGGTGTTTACACTTACACCTTTTTATACAGGGTTATTTTGCAATTAGCAGCCAGATTTGCAGAGAAGGTTCAGAATAAGTAATATAGACATATGGCGAAGAAAAATTAATAAAAAATTCAAACTTTCTGTCATTTTTATTTTTTAAATTCAAAATGCATGGCATTCCATTATTTAACAGATTTTACCTCACACGTACACATTCGTAAATCTCTTCCCGCACCCTTCTACCGTTACACAGTAAGTACCTATGTCTGCTCACCCGACTGAAAGCTGACAGTGTTGACCGTGACCTCATTACGTATGCTGCATTGCCAATGACGTAACGTGACGTAATAACGTAATGATAAGCAAAAATATATTTTTTATTTATTATGATGATCCTCAGCGCGTTAAAAGTGTAAAAGGAAAATTGGAATCATAATTCGCAACATGTAGTTATTATTTTATGCATAAGTAGTAAGCGTGTCGCTAAGAAAGAAAACAGTAGGTAAAAACTTGAGAAACTAAATCGTGAATTGAATCACAAACACACACAGAAGCGAGCCTAAGTAGTTGTTGCCCATAAAACTTTCAATTTGGGATAATGTTAAGTAAAAGTAGAAGCCTTATTTACTCGTATTTACAAAAAAAATAATGTCAGTAGATAATAATTTATTTATTTGAACTTCAATGTAAAATTTGGCTACTCATTGAAAAATAACCCTGTATATGTACAAAGATAATTTCCGACGTTTCATGCTTACGGGGAACTGAAGTGTTTAACATCCAGTTGTTATAGTCAACTCACGCTTCCT